ACCTCCTTAGAAAAGCAGAAAAAAGGGATAGCTGGTATTGGCCACAGTTTCAGCTGATGGAGATCAGCACAGCTCCCTCACTTTCAGTTGCATCAGTGAGTCACAGGAAAAGCAACAAAAAGGAAACAACCCAAAACTTGTAACAGCAGATCTAGTTTACTTCTGCATTGCTTCCCCCAGCACAGAAGTGGTGCCTCCTCCAGCCTCTCGCCAGAGCAGACAATTGAACTGTGGCCTGCTCCTGCCTCCTGCAAGTCTCTTCCCAGTTGAAGACAACTGGATGTGCAAATCCCAGGTTCAGTGGTTTTGTTCCCATCTCCTCTGAGCCCATTCCCATCATGTCCTTGACCTGCTCCTGACAGGAGGGCCATGAATGGAATGAAGCCTATTCAAAATTATCCCTGTCTCTCCAAAACAGATCTATAATTGTGCACAGAATAAATGCACCTTTATTTTTCCCTTCACTGTTCCAAACACAGGATCTAGAAAGGCATTCTATAATTGCTAAATTCCTGTTGAGATAATCCTACAATGATCATTTTTCCAAACAGTGCTCTGCTAAAAATTTCAGACACCAATGAAATTTCTGCATGCCACCTCAGGCATTTAACTGTCTACACCTACTGCACCAAAAAAAAAAAAAAAAAAAAAAAAAAAAAAAAAAAAAAAAAAAAAAAAAAACACAAAAAAACCAAAACCAAAAACCAAAAAACCAAAAACACAACAAAAACCAACCAAAAAAAAAAAAAGGCAAACAATGTTTCTAGTGCAATGTGCTGGAGGAACAACCACGAGCATCTTCATTTCTTTCCAAACACTGTGATACTGTGTTTCAGTCAAAAACTAGGTCATAAACTTCTCTATTGGAAAGTGTTTATAGCTGTTTGGACGCGATTATTCTGTTCAAGAGGTTATAATAATAAAGGAAGTTTGCAAGAATACTTTTTCCAAACTCGTGGTAGGTCAATGCCAGTTTGGGAATTTGGCTCATTATTTATCCTTGTTTGGCTCCTCCAATCTCAATTTTTTGTTTGTTTGGACCTCCTTCTGGACAAATATGAAACTTACTATTTTTCATTTAATTAATAGGAGGGAGTCTATAGAAAAAAATATCTCATTTATTCTAGTTCCAGAATCAGTTTTACAAAAACATTGTCAGAGTTTCCAGAAACGTTCAGATGTTAAGAGTCCTGCCAAAGTTTACAATCTAGTTATATCCTGCTACAGAAAAAAAAAAATTAAAAAAAGGCAAAAAAAATCCCCACAACCTGCTCTGTTTTTACAGTTTTATAGAAATCTCTGGCAAGAAACAATCACCTCCACATATTCACATGCATCCAGAGGATCTGTGGATAAACCTTATTCTCCTTAGTCTAATCAAATTGTCCAATTCACTTTCTCCATTTCCAAAGTCTCACAACACATTATTCTCAGCCACTCCTCCCTGTTTTTCATGTTGTACAGGAAAACAAAGCAGATTTTCCCTTCTCCCCACCACATCTCCCTTTTGAAAGCTTAAATCAGTGAGCAAACAGTTCACCCACAGTTCTAGTATTGCAAAGCTTTTTCATTTGAGGTTCTTTCTTTTGGTCATTTTGTACCACAAAGCAAGTTCACTGTCCATCAGCCTCACAAAAGGGATTCAGGGGAAATCCTTTGCCCATTTTCTGGGGGCTTGAGGTGCCCAACAGTTTCCTCTAAGTGAACAAGCTGGCTTTGCAGTCTTTTACATGTTTTTCCAGGAGTCATCAGAATGCACACAGTGGAGACATCCTTAAGTGAAATAGCCTTGAATGATATGCTTCATCCCATTTGCCCTTTATCTCATAAGGATTTAGCCCCAAATATGGACACAGAAGGGAAAATAAGGGCACTTGGGATAGAAAAAAGTGTACAACATTCATCTGGTTCTGTAATCACTTACTAAGTCCAAGATCTCCACTGTTTTTAACAAAAACAAAAATCAAGAGCAAAAATAAACCAAGATTCTATCCAGCTGCATAAATTCTGTCTCCCAGATATTCTCTGCCAAGAAGGAGAATCAGAGTAATTAGATTATTCTCCTTCAACTGGCTCTAAGATTTTAGCTAAGAGCTGTTTTACTTTCTGCTTGCTTTTACAGAATTTGAAACGCCTTTACATGGAAAAGTGTCACATTCTGAATTCTGTATTTAGCACATTCACAGTCTCAAATTTTAGGTTTTCAGAGTGGCCTTTTCCAGTTCAGCAATCCTACCAAAATAGTTAACATCATATATATTGCATAGTGTTTTCCTGAGACTCTATCTAAGCAAGTCAGGTAGATTTATGCAATATTCACACTTTCTTCCATAGCCTCAACACATCAGGTGCAACATGAGCAGTCAGGTACTCTGTGCAGTGATAGTGCTGCAAAGGCATCATTGGACCAGTCCTTTTTTTTTTCTTTTAGTCCATCTAAAGTTTCTGTGAACCCAAAAGCAATGTTTTAAATGTAGTAAAGAAAAACAGCAAGAAAAACTATAGTTCAGTTCTGATTAATGGTGCTATATTTTAATGTCTTGCTGGAAGACTCAACCCATTGAGTATGTATCCTCAGGATATTTTAAATTTATGGTAGTTTCTTCCAAACAATTTTGAATCCTGTCAGGAAAAAAAAAATGGCAGGATGACTGCTTAACAGATGACATAGCATCTTCTCTGTCGCTTTTTCTAACACTAGGAGGTACAGAACATAAACCCCAAATTCCTATTAAAATCATGGGAAATAAACTAAAAGATGAAAGCAAGACAGGTCCAAGCAGCTGCCTCAAACCTATTCATTAGGAAGGCACTAGCAGTGGGAGGGCCACAGAAAGCCCACAGTTTTATTTCACTTCAAGGAAATCTTAGTCTAGCTGCTTTTTAAACTCTCTTTAAAGCTTTGCACCCATCATCTTTTCCTACCACTGGAGCAGGAAAGGCTCATCTCAACTCCTGAGTCTCCTGGCATGTCAACCCAGTCTCCAGGTTAAATGTAATTAGCAAGTAGGAGGTTCAAAACTAACTTCAGGCACTATTTGTTTCCTCCCTCTCGGAATTCAGCTGGGGCATCCAGAACAGTACAAAGTGGCAGAGCCTAAAAATCCACCTGGGATCAAATCATAACCTCACAAATCCACAGAAAGGAAAAGCATAGCCAAGACTACCCATCAAAGAAGCCAACACTGGCACATCTCGGGGCCTCTCGCTGGCCAGAGTGACCCCGAGATGCATTAGAAAGTCTCTTTTTCCTGCCCGGTGCTTGAAGGAGAAGTCAGAGCTCTTCAATTCTTGGTCTCAAAGTTGTTTATTGTTCCTTATCTATAAAGTATTTTCTCCGTCTACCTGAGGTCTGTTCAGCAAGACAGTCCAGGCACTCTGCCTGCCCCCAGGGCGGTGTTATGTCTTTATACTAAAATGATGTATACATTGTTTACAATTACTTTCCAATACCTATTACCTATGTTAGACAGTGAGCTTCTGCTCTAAACCAATCCAAAAGTGCTAACATCACAGCAGAAGGTGGAGGCCAAGAACAAGATGGAGTAAGGCTGGGCACACCCAGATTCCTCCTTCTTGCCCCCGGAACCCCTATTCTAGAAAACCCCAAAATCTACTTTTTCACCTCGTGATAAATTCACTATCATTCTACTTAACTGTTGTGGCCTGCAGATCTTCATCTAAGGTTGGTAACTTGCTCCACAAGTCATAATCAAAACCACAGGCATCTTAAGCTCTGTGCCAAAGTCTCTGAGCCCCCTAGCAGGGGTTTTGGCTGCTCAAGACAGCCAGAGGGATGTCCTAGGTTCCAACAGACACAGATGTCCATCTGTGGAGCATGAGAGGTTGATCTGGAAAGCAATCACGTGCTCCACTCTCCTGTCTTGGCACCAGCCCTCAGTCACTCCATGGGACAGGAGGCCACTATGCCTTCCCTAAATCTCTATACCTAACCTGGTCTTTGATCCACAGATACTTACATTTTTATGTTTTCTATATTTATCCTCTTGCACCCTGCAAGCTGGAAAATAAAGTAAACTCCAGGGTCTTTCCTTTGTATATTTTGTGTCCTTGCCTTAAGACAAGTCTTTAACACATCTGGCTCCAACCTGAACACAGTGCAGTCTCCACCACATCTGTGTTCACAATGCTCTCACAAAGGAGGAGGAGACAAGGGCAATTGGGAAGCCAAAGATACCAAATCCCACATGTGACTTGAAACAGCCCTTACACACAAGGACAAGTCTTTTTCTGTAGCTGAAATGTGCACTCAGCAGTACCCAGCTTCCCTTTGGAGCACTGGCAGCTCCACCCTGCCAGCACAGCAAGGTGATCCTCAGGCACACAGAAAGGTCAATTTAGCCCTGGGAATATCATTTGTGCAAAAGAAAAACTACTCTGGACACACTATTTTCTCTACCAGAAATACAAGCATGTTGGTACATAGGCACTTATTTCCCACTGATGTGAAAACTAAAGATTTTGTCCGTGTTTTCTCACGAAGCTTGTGGCACAGCAAGCATTAAATCAATACCAACTTTTTCTTGCCTTTGTGCAGGCTTTAACAGGCTTGCATTAACTTCCAAGGATATCAAAAACTTGACAACTGTATCCTGAACTGGCACAGCCTTAAAGAACAAGTTAAGTTACCCAAACCACACAAGAAATGCTGAAATCATTTTTATATTCAAACCTACAGTTGTAACCATCAATGTGAAATAAAATTCTTAAGGAAATTTATACAGTAGCAAGGGTAAAGACTGTAGCAGCAGCAGCATCTGTTACCAGGGTTACCAAATCTAGAAGGAAAACAAGAAACCTGCTGACACTGATTTACAGAGAGATATATGTAAACATTCATGTAGACAAGAGATTTATATTTTATATTCAGTGAATTTTAGTGGTGTAACATTAAATACTGCTGCTTTGAAGCTGAACCAAAACAATGCAAGGAAAGTTAATGAACAGCCATACCAAACGGCATATATCTGATTTCTTACCTGAAGTGTATTCTGCTCATCCATCCATCATTACTGCTGTCCCACGACAATGCTTCAGCAACCACATAAAAAGATCTGGTAAACTCCTAAGTGTTTAAAAAGAAATAGCATGTTACACAATATAAAAGCCACCAAATCCATTGCAAAGAGAAAAATAATATTTCAGAATTCAATATGACACTGAATTTGCAAGGATTTTTTTTAGTTCAAATGATTTCAAATTTCTCCACGCATTCAAAACTGTGAATTTTGCTGAGGCAGAATCAGAGCCACAAGTAACACAATTACTTACAAGACTAATTATAGATGAAAAACATCTACATGACATATAAAAATAGAAGAATCAAAAGAGAAATAGTAATCCACAGTTGGTTTGAACATTTGGCACCTATGCTGCATCTACCTATTCACTTGTTGATACTAATTCACAGTAGTTCTAGAGAAGTTTTTCAGTTCTCACAGGAAAAGAAATAACATTCCCAAATTATGGTAGCATTTTATAGAAAGAATGACTTATGCTAAATGTGAAATACATCTTTCCTTAATACTCTTTATTTTCAGTTGGAAAGATCTGTGTTTAAGTGTCCAGGTACAAAGAATACTTTAAAATTCTGGACACAACTATGTTTAGTCCTGAATTTTCACTTTAGAACCACAAGATGAGTACATTAAAAAGCTCTGCAACTTACATCAGTTAAATGGTATCTCTGCAAAATCTTCTTTTTATAAATCAAATATTGAATTGGAAGAAATGGGCGCTGCTGGTATTACATGTCTGCTTGATTAACCGAGTAACAATGTAGTCAGGAAATTAACCTTTCAGATTTCACATACTGCAGTTAACTCCCATGTCTGCAAGCACAACACCATAAACTGCAGGACAAAACATGCTTTCCAGGGCACAGGAAAAGTCCTTCTTCATAGCAGCACACAGATCTTACAAAGCACAGCATAGTTTATTGTGAGCTACCTCTGTAACACGCATCTCCTCCCTGCTGCACATTATAAAACTATCTCCATCAGATCTAAGGGGCACAATGCAATTTCCACATGAGTCCCACTCAATTTCCAGCAATCTGCAACACATGGAAAAACATTCTGATTTCTGCTGCTTCAGTGCAGTTGCTTCTCATGGACAGTCCAGCTGCCTACTCCAGTAAGCCAGGCTTAGCAAAGCATCACTCAGGATAGGGCTACAACTGTGTTTGCCTGTACTTCATTTACAAAGAAATGAAGCTTACAAAATCCACAAGCAGAAACCCATCTCATCATATACAAAACTTTAAATGCTTTATCTAATTCCAGCTTTTCTATTCTATGTCTTTTCACATCACCCCAATTTTACATAACTGCCTAAAGGCCTAGAGAACCTCACCCCATATTATGCAGCAGAGGCTTCAGTGTCTCTCTGTGTTAAGAAATAAAATACAACAGGATCAGGTAATATTCTTATTTCATTAGTGACTCCTCTGATATTTCTTCTGTTTACAAATTAAATCAATAAATCAATCAGATAAATGTAAGTTAGCCTTATCCAGAATGCATCTCATAAACTTGGTGTACCTCAAGCTATTACACAGCAGCAGGAGACCCTACATTACAGTTCCCTATTCCCATTTAAATCCCACTGGTGTGAATTCAACAATGAGCCAATGAAGACCTAACATATATAGAGACACCTGACAGTTGTACAATTACCTGTAGTGGCATTGATCTATAATTTTCATCTTATAACACTAAGGTCCTGAAAATCCAGCCAAAATATCAGCCGACTTTTCCCAAAATACATGCTGTTAAAACTGGAGTCTCTTCCAATAGAATATCTGCAATTTCTCTGCAAGGAGATCCAACATCACTAAAGAACGTAGAAAAAACAGAAACCTCTCTAAAGCACAAGCTGCCTACCTGAACTTAAGACATTAAAAAAACCAAAAAACAACATGATAAAATTAGTTGATAGAAGAGCATACCTAATTTATTTAACTACGATTCCTAACTTCAGAGGATAATTGCCACTTGTGACTAATTAAAGCCACATTAAGTATTGAACAAGAGACCATCAAAAAACATTCAGCACAAAGAGTGCTGGAGCAAGGGTGTAGCAAAGAACAAAAGTTCATGTGGAATTCTTTTCAGACTGTGGCTCCTAGGCCATCCCTATGGACTGTTGGTAGTCTCTACCGTTTCAGAAAGTGCTCCACAAAATAATGATAAGGAGGGAAAAAAAACAAAACCAAATTCATGAGTGTGCAAGCAATAAAACTGAAAAATAAAATGAGTGGGTCACCAGTCAAAGCTGAGTGTGACTCTCATCTGGTAATAAATGAGAAACATTGTTGAAACAAAGCACAATGTTATTCATACATTTTTCTTTTATCTGAAAAAAGTAAAAGTATTAAGTTACCTACTGATGAAAGACAGATTGATGAATACTTTTGCAAGTTATATTTCTTTGAAAATATATACTAGGCACATAAACATGCCTCATAGGGACAAAATCTTTGAAGCAAAAATAAGGAACACAAAAGCACACGACAGAATCCAAAATGCTTTCCAGCTTTTGGTGTGAAGTGTGGGCCCAAGCAGAGCCACAGACCATTTTTGGGGAGACCAGCCTTCATGCCTTGGCTTCAACACCAGGAGCTCCCCACTGGGAACCCAGATGGGCACTGTGGCCTGTTTTAGACAGAGGCTCATGATGGTCACCAACCTACCAACCAGGACTTGTTCACCACCTCCAAAGCCCAAAGAAAGCAGAAGACAAAGCTAGTATCAAGATTTAACCTTTAAATTAGACAACTTTCATCTGATTTTGATTTCTTAAGCCAATCAGGGCAGTCACATTAGTCAATTTTAATTATCTGACTTCTTTTCCAAGGAAATGGATACAAGTGTTGCTTTCTGTACTCAGACAATAGTGCTGCCTGAGGCTGGCAGCCCTAAAATGCTGGGGAGAGAATCAAGATCACTAGAATCAAAATCCTTCCGCCCTCTCCTTGCATCCCCACCAGAGAGAGGAGAGCCCTGAAGGATGAGGCAATTGTCCTGAGCAATGGTTTAGCCCTCTCCACGACTTCCTTGAGTGGAAAGCAGCTGTGCAACAGCCATCAACAGCCAACTGATGTATTGGTGAGTGAGGGAGCCCCTGCCAGCAGCCCCTCTGCTCTCCCCCATTCCTGAGCAGAGGTGCTGCTGGGAGATGAGACAATGAGGTCTATAAATGCAACTGAAGAGAGCTGCTCACCCTAGAATTCCTCCTTTTCTGCCAGGAACCATTAAAAGCTGTTTGTTTTAGCCATGGAAATCAGTCATGCACTTCTGGAGCAATCAGATATATCCTGTGGGTATTGCTGGGTGCCAGGCTCAGTTCCAGCATCATTGTCTACATGCTGCCCCTTCTTCCTTCACACCTTCCTTCTGTGGCAGAAGATTGTGTGAAATGCACCAGAAAACATTTTTTTTTCATAAATACTATCAATGCTTCTCATAAGTACTAGACTAGGAATTATTTTACAAGAAAAAGATCATTTGTAGGCCAGGGACAAAAGCACTACCATGAACTAGGTCAATCCCATCATTTGTTACTGTTCAAAAGTACAATAACAGCGGGAAGAGAAGGTCAGGGTGGAATAATCATTTGTTAACAATTTTAATAGTAAAGCTTTATTGGTTTTCCCTATGGATTCTCATAGTTATTATAGTGAAATTAAGTGTTTTTCCTCCAAGTGAACTCTTGTTAATCCTTTTATTTAGGTTCAGAACTACAGTACATGACCCTGCAAGAACATTCATCTACAGTCACAGCTGGAGCTGCAGACTCACTGGCTTGAAGGAATTAATTTCTTTGCAAGGCGGAAGCAACTGAAAAGCCAAAGGCTTATCTACAGGAAAATCTGAATTTCACCAACTTGTACAAAGAACAGCACAAACCAAAAATCTACAATCAGACACCTCATGAAAGAGCAGATGAGAAAAAATTCTGGCACATTAGAGGGATACAATTTGGGGGGGAGGAATATTCTGATGGTTTGTCATAGCACATAAAAATCCTTAGGTTTAAAAAAAAATCTGAATTTGATAACCAGAATAAATATTACTCCAATGAACTGCCACCAAGAGGTCATTCAGACTTCACAGTGCTTAACTCCAGCTGCCCAGGCTTTCTATTATCTCATACCTTTGATGGTAACTATTCATTTGCAAGACTTATCTGGAACCAGTTATAACGTTACCAAGCCTGTTCTTGCTTCACTTTGGTCATCAACTTCTCAGTCCATTTTGTCCCATGTAAGTAAATAACAATAGAGGTGGGAAGAATGTTGGAAAGTCAGAGTGTTTGACTGGGCATAATGGAAAAGATTGTCACCCAAAAAAATTGCTACAAGGTAGAACCTTGGCCATCAGGTCATCGCGTGTAGATATTGAAGCTGGTCATGAGCAGGCAGAACTTAAAACATGAGTGACAATCTGCACTTGGAATCCAAAATCTGGATTTTCTGCTTCTGATGATATTCAAGTACTGCAAAAGCAGTTTTTAGTAATTTGATTTTCTCAATATTAAAAAAAAAGGAAAAGAAAATTTCTACAGCAGTGTTCAGATTCAACACTTCTTACAAGAAGCCTTAGATAAGCATTCACCAGATGCATAAACACTCCTGTTTTATACAGAATGCAGTGAGACATTATTAACTTGATCGTGCATGAGTACAGTCAGCACCTTTCTAATTATATGAAAGTTTGACCCATTAAACTGATCAGGAATATTTGTATATCCACAAGCATTCACAGCAATTTATTTTGAGCATATTGCACTGAAATATTTATTTATGCTTTCTGAAGCTGAGCATCCCTGACATTTTTGAGACCTCAATATCTTGAATTTTTCAAATCATTGCTTTCCTAATCAAGGAATAAAGAGACATAAAAGCTTCATTTAATGAAAATCATTTAGAAGCTTTTTTTTTTTTTTGAGGAGAATCTAAGCACAGAGAACCCAGAGTACTTTTAATCCTTGCTTATATTTTAAGTATTGAACTTGGTTACATTTAAAATTGATTTCCAGCACATTGTCTCTGAGTAAATATTA